TAGGCTAGTTTATGGGATTTTGGTGGCTGTGATTGAGTCGGTGGATTTCGTTTATGTTGTCGATGGTTTTGGAGTTTTGGAAAGTTGGGCTGTGAGGAATAGGCTGTAGTTGTTGAGTTGCAGCTGAAGGTTTGTGTCAGAATGTCAGTAAGGGTTTGTGGCAGTATGTCGGTGGGGGTTTCACTATTTTTTGGTGTTTAGTTGGTGTTGCTGAAGTATGGCTAGGCCGTGGGTTTGTGGTTGTCACTAATCTAGAGCAGTCACGATGGCTAGTGGCAGTGTGGTGGCTGGTGGCTGCAATGTGGAAGAGGGGTTAGGGTTAGGGTTAGGGTTAGCGGTTAGGGCGAGAGGCTAAGGTTTTGGCTCTGACACCAACTTGATGTATTTGTGAGTAAAAAAAAATACAAACTATGTGTAGAGACCCATATGTATAGCCAAACAATAAAAGTCACAATAAGGATAAAAAAGTAAAAAAAAAGCAAAACAAAACCCTAATAAACTAGACTACAACTCCAACAGAGCTTGACTGAAGTCGTCGGGGCATTAAAAAGTACAGCCAAGTAAAGTGTGGGTGGCATGATAGGGGCAAGAGGAGGAGTATCCATCTTGGGGGTCATATTTATTTTCCTAATCTATCTTTTCTTCTAGGCTGATTCTCTAAACAAATTTCCAAAGGTTCTGTTTTTTATTCTTCACTAGTCCTTATTAGCGTTTCTAAAGTCAACCTAACCGGGTACCCGTGGAAATAAAACTTGAGGCTAAAGTATAGAGAACCAAACTAAAAGCTTGGACCCGTCGCAACGGAAGTTGAACCGAGCGTAGGAGTTAATGAACCGGCTGGAACACACGGAAACACTGGAAAACCCACTGAACAGGGGAGAAAATCACTTAATCGGACTGAACTGGCCATAAAAATGCCTCTATACAGGCTGGAAATGAAGGAACCTGCTGGAAACTCAAAACTGATGAGAAACTGGCTGAACTGGCCTTATAAGGACCTGAACTGATCTAAACTGCACCTGAACCGGTTTGGGCTGTGGTTTGGTCTAGACCTAGATTGGACCTCTACAAATTGGGATTTGGGGGGCTGGGCCTGAGCAATTTGGCAGTGGGCCTTTGCTGATTCCAAACAGGGTTGAACCAGGTGTCAACTAATGAAGCCCGTGATCCATGGATTGACCCAGATGCCCTTGGACTCTTCTTCTTCACTAGAATGGGTTTGATGGAGCCCTAGCTCTTGACTGCACACCATCACGACACTACACCAGACCTCTGGCAGTAACAACAGCTCCTCCACAGACCTCCGGCGACCTTTACGACATACCCAACAAAGTCGTCGATCACAGACTCTCAGCCCAACACATGAGCATGGACAATAGCCGACTTCAGTCTCAACAACGGTACACATCAAATCGGTAGAAACCACCACAACACAACCAACAAGATTTCCAGTGACAATTTAACAATTATTCACACACGAACGACAGCACAATTGGAATTCATCATAATAGCCACCACCCACAACCCTAGACCATGGTCATGGGTTACACAAATATGGAACAAATGAGGAGAGAAAAAGAAAAGAAAGAATGAGAAGAATGATTGCAAATCAAAATTTTGAATCAATAATGCTCTAATGTCATGTTAAGTTTAGAGAATGGAATAGGTTAACACAACATGAGAGAGCCAAAGAATAGTGTAACTTTACCTACCTCTCACTATCAACATTAAATATAATGCTTTGGGATTAAATATTAAATAACTGTAGATTTATGATATTTATAATGCTTTGGGATAATTGTATTGTTTTGGGATATTTGCAATTCTTTGTAATGTTTTTAATGCCTTTTTTTTGTAATGCATGTCCAAATTGACTTTTTTTTGTTGGTATAGAGTTTAAACTAATGAATTGTTAAATTGATTAGGCAAGTTGGGTCGTGTGAGACGGGTTGGGTCGTGTTTACATGGACACAACCTATGTAAACCTTGGGTCGCTGGTCATGTCAGGTTATTCGTATTTAAAAACAGGTCGTGTTCGTGTTCAGATAACCTGACCCATTTAACTCGCAGGTTGTGTTTGGGTTGATGTGTCTTCAACCCAAATCCGACATGACACAATTCGACCATGACACGATTGTCACCCCTGCCTATCATACCTGAACGCCAACCAATGTATCCTTCACCGCCGTGGAACTTGCCATAGTACAACCCACAACTAACTAGGCAATAAAGGAGCCTAAAAAAAATCCCAAACCATCACAATCACAAAAACAACCAAGAATGGAGCCAAAAAAATTGTTCAAGATAATCAAATCACAGTCAGACAAGTCACAAACCACCAAGTGAAAAATAGACCACACCAATAGCTTTAGAAACACCCAAGAGACCAGAAAATAGGAAGAAAACCATAATGCATGAATAGTGTGTCACTGTTCAGCCTCAAAAACAGTAGTTGAACAAGAATGGAGGTGCACAAGTTTAAATCGGCACCTGAAAAACCCAAAATTTGAAACCCAAGCCTCACAACTTCTACAACCAAACACCCACCGGAACAGTGCGCCTAGCCAAGAATGGTCCTAACCGAAGGCCTATAAATCAAAAAACAACTCAACAAGGCATAGGTCGATCACAACTAACCCCCTATGCCCTAGTCGCCTAATCGCACCTCTCAGGTGTGAAACAAGAGATCGAAACAGCCCAGATTGGTCCAGAGAAGCAGATCGTAAAATTTGGCCCTTTTTTCAAAAATAGAAAACACAATCCAAATGATCTCAAAAAAATTGAAAAAAATCACCATAATTACCGGGAGGAAAAATCGAGCCAACTGGTAGTTTATGTCATAGGAAAGAGCTGACTTCAACATGATGTCATCGCCGCCGATGATGATGTTGACAACATAACTTTTTTTGTTCTCTGGAACTTCTTGTGATGAGTTTTCTTTCTTAATTTTTTTTGTTATTTTTATGTGCTCTGATACCAAGTTGAATCTGTAAAATAAGTATTAGGGTTTGAGAAAGAAAAAGAAAATAGAAGATAGGAGAAGAGAGAGGAAAGAAATTGATAGTAATAATCAGTTGTGTTGGTTAGGTTGCCTTACACTCTCCTATTTATAATTGTGTAATATTAGAGTAATTACAATATTACCCTACACTAATTAACTTATGTCTAATATAAAAAATAAGAATTCTAACAGTTTTGTTTCATTTGCTTTAGTTTTTGCTCTTTTCGGTGGATTTCTTATTCATGAATTATGTACATTTATATCTTTCAACGAAATAAAAGTTGTTTCTTGTCCAAAAAAAAAAACTTTCCCCATTCAATCCTTCGCCACCCCTCATTTTCAAACATAACATGTAACTTTATTGGCTTTATTGTCGCATTCTCTTGGTAATCCAGTATCAAATTTGATATTAGATCCTACCCACGCAGCCTTCTTCACAACCAGAACCCATGTTTTATATCTTCCTCCTTCCCCTTACCCTTTAGGCACCTTCAGTTATCCACAGGTTATTAGGTGATGATGATGAAATTCACCGGGCAAGCAATTCTTTAAGTAGCCTCACCGATCATATTGAAGATCTTAAGGGTGACCCAATGCACAAAGCTCCCGTCGTTGCGGGTTGTGGAGAGGGACAAATGTACGTATATTGAGGAGATTAATTATGTTGAAGTATATATTCTTAAGTTATGTCCTCTCCAATAATTTAACCTTTTAGAGTAGATGATTGTCTAATATAGTATCAGAGTAGGAGGTCATGTGATCGAATCTCATCATCACTCCGATAATTAAAACATTTTCCCGTGTTAGGTCAAAAAAAAATAAGTTGCATGTTAGGGAACGTGTGTTGAATTATAAATACTTAAGTTACACTCTCTCTAATAGCTTAAACTATTGGAGTAGATGATTGTCTAATATAGTATAATTCATTAAACTGGATTCAAAAAAGGGGAGCCAATAACATATAACATATGCCCCCCAAGGATGAGTGTAGAATCAAAGATAAGTGCTTCAACAATGATCAACATTGGTAAAAACTTGATTATGATAAAGTCGGTGAAGTTTATATGTTGTTCTACGTTTGCATAGTTTCAGTCCACAATGGCAAGGCCAACACTGAAGCCTCACTACTACTTAATAAATTCAATTTATTAACAACTCAACGATTTCATAACATGCACTTTCCTTAACTTGATGATATTTTCTTGATGTAGTGTGCTAGCGCTTTAGTTTTCTCGCTTGCTCTCCTTTCTTAGGGGATTAACACTATAGGAGAAAAAAGAGTGCATTAGCTTATATTACCAACATTCATGGTTCAGCTCTTCAACCCAATCCAATATCCTATCTTTCCCCGGCGCTTTTCACGAGTTTCAACTAAAAGTTGAGGGGCTATAATAAGAATCTAACTAGAAAGTCATTCTTGCTGCAGCCAATCTAATAATGTTTCTTACGGACAAGGAATGAACTCATGAAGAAATTTAAAAATTAAAATATATGACAGCAGCTATTGCGAAATGGGAATGGGAATGAACTTACGAAGAATGAATACTACCCATGATTCAATATCATTTTAACTTTTTATTGTGAGGTGGTTATTTTTGTTTTAACCCTATCTTTCTCTTGAGGGTGCTTGTTTTCAACATTGTTAAGAACTTAATTAGTAAGGTTGGGAAATTGGGCAACTGCAAGATAACTGGAGCATTAAGCACTTATGGATTGCAGATTCTATAATAAGATTTATTGTCATTTCCAAAATATATGGTTCCTAGGAAGTAAATATCTCTTTTTTGGGTTAAATGCATTTTGATCAAACAAAAAACTTCTCATGAAAAAAAAAATGTGTACAAGAGATTTGCTGGCTTTTAAGAACCATTTCAATTCATCCTTTTTCCCATAAAATTGTCTTTTCGCAGAAGGAAGAGACAAAGTGAAGAAAGAAATAAAGCATATAAGGAGTAACACATCAAACAATCGCATGCCACCAACGATACCAATGCAACACCTAAAAAATATGAACCCTTACCTCACCAGAGCGGAACTTCTCAAGAATGATGTTTGTGTTCTTGCGCGACATACTTTTTAGTCCTGAGTGGACTCCTACAAGAAAATCACACCTCCAAGCTGACAAAAACTTAAGCTTTTGAAGTATATGAGACAAGGACCTCGCAGTTACAACCCTGTTGACAAAAACTATACATTTCATGTTTGGTTGTAACCTGCAAAAGAACAAATGAGATTTTAGGCAGCCACTTCATAGAATGAAGCAAACAAAAATTATGCTTAAAATTAGTAGAAGCATTGCCCTCATATATCTTCAAGTTATTCGAGTCAATATGCCACTACCCTTGACAAATTGTCAATCATTTAATACATTTGAATTTACCATTTCTTATGCTTTTAAAAAGTACAAAAAAAAAAGGTCAATTTTATAGAACAGTCACTCGAATATTAATAAATTAAGAGGAACTCCAAAAAAAAATGGACCAGCATGGAAAAGATAAGGGAGCATAGAAGTCTTGGCGCTATATAGATTTTACACTTCTCTCAGTCTACCAGTCTAGTGTTGACCCTATGCTTAGTTAAATAAGGTTTTGATGATAACAACACTCTTATATAACTAAAAAATCTTATCTAACTAATCATCTTCATGTGAGTTTTATTGTAAAGGGTTACACATGTTTGCCACAAGAGGTGGTTGAATGGGGTAATCTAGTACATGAATACAAAAATTCAAATGAGAAGATGTGTATGAGTTAAATGCTAAATTGGATGATCAAAGATGCAAAGAAATGAAGAAAACAAGAGTTGTTAAATCGGTTGATTGAAGCTGAGAAGAATTGAAGGGAGATTGAAGATGCAAAGAAATGAAGACAATGATTATGCGAATCTTACGCAACAACCTTGTCGGATTGATTGTTATAAGTGAAGAAAAACATGAGAGGTTAAAGATCTCACTTTTATGTTCATTGTTAAAGTTAGGAAGATAATTACTTTGCTTGAGAAGAAGAGTTGAAGGACTAAGGCAAAGGACACAAAGAAACAAGCCAAGGAGGAAGAATACTTCAATCAGTCAATTTGACATAGGCTCGGTATTATGAGCATAACTTTCATCTCAGATATCCAATTGACTTGATTATTGTGGGGGTAAAAAGAAGACTTCAAGGTTTACAAGTTTGCCAGAACTATAAAATTTCAGATTCGAATGTTTTCAGGGTGAAAAAGAGCATGGAAGTTGAAGGTAGTGCATAGATGCTGACAATTAGAAGAATCAGACATATGCTCAATAATTTGGACATAACTCTTTACTATGATGTCCAAATGACCTGATTCAAATAGATTTGAAAACTAGACTTCAAGATCTACAACGTTACCTAAAATAGGTTTTGCCAGATTCGATCGTTTTTTGGGTGAAAAGGGGACTAGAAGGAAAGGGAAGAAAACAAAGTGTTTTATCGGTCAACTAGTGGAGGGATCTAGACAACCGGTGGAGGTACCCAAACAACTAGAGGAGGATTCCGAACGTTTGATGAGGCAAATCGGATGTCCGATAAACGAGACTAGAGCATCAAGCATACACTTGTGAATATTGAGAAAACTATCGTGCTTCATCTTGTGAGTTTTAGCAAGTGAGATTGTTGGTGATTGGTGTAATTGCTCTATTCTCTCTTGTTGTAAGCTTTGATTGAAAAATACTTTGAAGGCTAGAGAGATTTATTTCTTCTTGAGAGGTGCTTCAAAGATTGTGTGCTATATCAAGTTGAGATTGTAAGAGTGTGCCTTGACCTACCGAAGAAGACAAAGGTTGTAATGGATTTGATCGTTACCTATTGAAGAAGGTCAAGATAGTAAAAGAGAAGTTCCAAGGAGAAGGCGAAAGAGAGAATTTAGGTCATAGTGGTTAGGTCAAACCTCTAAAAATCTTGTTTATCTTTTTTCTTCTCTACTACTTACTTGCTCCATCTATATTACATTATTTACCATACACATTATCTTCTTCATCATACAATTATTTACATTACATAATTAGTCGAAATTAAAGAAAGTAAAAATTAGTCATTAACTCATTCAACCTAATTCAACATACAATTTTCTTTGACCACCGAAAAATTGTCACTAAATTTTGCATCTTCTAGGATGGATTCGAGTGATCCAGCCCATTGGTTTGTTGAACCAAATCAAACCTCGAGACCAATCAACCAGTTGTTTCCTTTCCTTCAAGCCAGAATCAAAGTTTGGGTTTCAATCCATCAGACAACATGCCCCTCTCCCTTGAGAGGGAATGAATGAATACCTATCCAAGTTTTTTCCTAGCACTCACAGTAGACAGGATCTACAAGAGAACCGGAGACTAATTTGATTATAGGAGCAAAACTTTCCACCGAATAAATGGTGTTAAACTAACGAGTAACTTATCACAAAGTATATAAAGAAAGTAGTTCACTAAATCACTGCATATGTAAACACAAGATCCTGTGGTGCAGGAAAAACACCACATGCAAGCAATGTTTCTAAAAATTTAAACATATGTTAGTAAGCGCAAGATTACCAACCTAAAATTGGATAGAATTCCAATAAGTCGCAAAAGCTTTGTTGAAAAAAAAGGCTCCTTTAAAACCTCAACACAGGACAAATCAGCTTCAATGCCATCTACATGAATATCAGAAGCAAGATATATTTCATTGATTGTAGCATACATGATACTCAATTTTCCTGCTGCATTGAGTTACTAATGTGTAAGAAACACATTCTGCACACACACACACACACAGAGGAGGGGCAGGGGAGAGGATTAATTTACTGCACATCAATTAGAGCTGATATCCCACAAAATTCATCTTGAAGCCCAAATCTACTCACTTTTTGATGTAAAATGACCATCCAGTAAAAACAACGACTACAAGATATTTGGAGCTGCAATTGAGGAAGTTTATAACTCATCATGATACCTTTCATGCAATCAGAAACAAAGAGTGAGGCAGCCTGAGTAAGATATCCATCAATAAAAGATTCATCACTGCCATTTTCTTCTCCCTCTAGCAATTGACGTCGCTCAAGATGATCACCCTTTAAAAGGATGCGACTAGCCTTTCACAAAAGCAAAGAGATTTAATTTAAACACTCCATTCACAATCATCCCAGAATAAGCCATAATCACTATCGAAGTCTCAAACTGGAAACAGAAAGAGAGTACAAAATGTTATCACGCAAAAGAATCAATGCAACCCTTTCTTGTTTCACATAGACAACTAAAAGAAAAACTTATATTTTGGTAAGGAAATAATACAAAAACAACAAAAGAAAATGAAACAGTGCAGCGATCAGAAAAATAGCAAAATAAATTGAATTGCTAGCAAACTTTCATGGCTTTTTTGATGAACCACATACACAGAATCAAGCACACAAATATTTTACTACTTACTCAACATCAACAACAATTTTTTGCTTGCTCACCTGTAAAGCTCCCCAAAGTCCTAGTTTTTCCAGACAAAATATCAGATTACAGTGCAGTTTTTGGAGTGACTTTTTAATGCTCTGAAGACTACAATGATCATATTTCTTCCTGCTCAGCGTGGATACACACTGCTTGCATCACAAAATTGCAAGAAGTGAAAGTCTATTTCTATAAAATTAAGTACATTGGGAGAATTATTTGCACAAAAATACCTGAGACTTTATCTTCTCAAGTTTCTGAGAATACATCGTATGGGGGCAAGATTGGCTGTTTGTAACAGGACCATATTTGTATACATTAACTTTCGGCGATGTCACAAATTGTTCCAATTCATCCTTATCTTCAACAGAATAAACCTATACAAAGGGACAAAAAAATTGAAAAAAAATAAATAGAATCTGTTATTGAGATACGCACAAACACGCACACGAAAAGAGCTACTGGTCTTATCACGGGAGAAACCAAGCCAATGCTTGACAAAATCATTCTTCAGATAAATTCTATTAGAAGAAACTAAAAGGCAAAATCCCATAGACCAAAGGTAGTTCCAAAATCTTAGCAGCCTTCAAAACCCACCTTAGAATGAAGTAAGGTCTCAAGACTATCGATGGAAGCACCTGAAACAGTAAAGAAATCACATGAAGTCAAGGAAATTGATGAAAGACACATAAATCACCATTCCTGGGATGTGAACTGTAGAAAAAGAAATGTTAATTACTCAGTTAGAAAACAAAACAGGAAGATAAAAATATATTGGCCTTTCAAACAAATGAGAGATGCTTCTTTACCAGTTAGACGGTAACCTTGACAAAGATCAATTACAAAAACATTATTTTCTGTGTGTTATCTGCCCAATACACATGCTAGGCTGAGGCATCTCAAACAAGCAAATTGGGATGAGGTGTAGTGTGTTCACATTGTTTTTTCTTTTTTAATAAGAAACAAACTTTTCATTGATATGTAAGGTGTGTATTCACATTATTATAAAACAATGCCTGAAACTGTACTAGATCAGCGTGTTCAACTATCAAATCCTTCACAAAATTGTTGCGGAAGTTAATAAATAAATGGCACACATGTCTCAACACTATTTCAAGGTCGGTGTATTTAGATTTTAGAATTTCCACCATCAAAACGAGCCAGATGCATGTTGATTTATTATTTCAATGTCAAAATGGTTGCAAAAAACAAAGTCATGAAGTTTATGAAAAAATACACAACACACGTATGAAACCAGTGTTATTTAAGGCGTAAAGCGAACCGAAGTGACCAAGGCTCCTAACGCCTAGGCGAGAAGCGAGAAGCGAAGCGACACGCTTTACCGAAGCAAAGCGAACAGTTAAAAAAAATATATATTTTAGTTTAATTACTTCTAAACAATCTAAGTTCTAATTTTATATATACTAAATATTTAAATGCAAGTAAAACCATAAACATTTAAATTAAAAAAAACACTAATAATATCTCAAATCTTAATAACAGTCATAACTTAAACATTTAAATTCAAACAAATACTAACAATTGTATACATTTTCATATTGACAGGGTAGGACAACAAAAGAAGCAGAATCAGGACAACAGCAGAATTAGCAACAAAAAAAAAAGAAGCAGAATGACAATTAAAAAAAACAAAAGCAACACATGACAGCAAAATCGAAGCAGCAACAGAATCAACAAAAAAAAAATAGAAGCAGAATGAGCTAAAAAAAAAACATAAGCACAATGATCATGACAGAAGCAGAATCAATTATAAACAATTTCATATGTAATTATATACTGAATAAAAAAAAGCAGAACAGAGGCACATTTCACATGTACTAAAATAATTAAACATGGTATAAGCATAGACCACTTTTTGGTACCATTTGTATATATATAAGAAAAGGGAAAAGTATAACCAAGACATATCAGAGACACTTCTTTGTAGAAGAATTTATTATTTACCCCCATTTCTGATACTCCTGCTTTATTTTTTTATCATAATTGTCATGCAGTGTAGTCGCCTAACTCCCACATCCCACAAATATTCTAAATGAATTCAGCAACACAAGGAAAAAAAATGAATGTGTTTTGTTCGAAACATTGTTTATTAGAAAAAAAAAAAAAATAGACCAGCAATAGTCTAAAAAAAAAGTCATTAGTGATTAAAAAATAAAAGAGACTACTAACCTGTAATCAAAAAAAAAAAAAAAAAAAAAAGTGAAGCAGAATCGCTTTTTATAATAAAGCGATCGCTTTTTTGCTTTTTTCGCTTCTTCGCTTTTTCGCTTTTTCTCGCTTTTTTCTCGCTTCGCTCACGTTCGCTTCGCCTGGGGTCCTCCAGGCGAGATAAGCTCGCCTCGCCTCGCTTCTCGCCTAGGCGAGCTTTTCAAAACACTGTATGAAACCATTCAGCTTCTGAACCAACAAATGAGAGGTTCACTAGGTCCAGACCTCCTGTAAGTTTTACGACAGATACACAATAAATTGACAAACAGAATTGCGGTATACAAGTAGGCGAAGGACAGTGTTCAGTTGAAACTGCTTGAGTATGACACATGTAAGTGCACCTGCAAGTTATTAAATGTTTAGGATCAAAATGGCAGCAACTCATCATGCCCGAAAGCCATCTATGAGCAATTTTGTACCACCAACACACTCCATACGGGAGATCTACAGAAGAACAATTCCAGCACAAATAGAGAACCTTATAAGGCCGTACTAAACAAGCCATGTCATTAAGACACATGACCACAATTTCTACGTGAATGGTAATAAAACGAAAGTTGGGTAGCATTTGGAGAGCAAACTCCCTTTTTACAGCTAATTCCCCAAGTTGTTTCGTGTGTTAGGCACTGACCATCACTCCAGCATTTTGGTTACCTAAGGAACTTGTGCTAGACTTCAATACACAACAGGAGATGAGAAGATTAGCAATTACACATCCAACAAGTGCAGAAAATTTGATCAGGATGGAAAGTTTGCAATTGTGCATATGTACAAGCACAAGTGTAAATGCATGCATAAGTTGGCAGAGATTACACATGCAGAGCCATGATAACATTACCTTTCCCCGATATTGGAGAGGCAGTCATGCCAAATATGCGAGGAAGAGACAAAGCATCGCTTTTGTAGAAGATCTGTATAATTGCAAGTTTAAATCTCAACAACAACACTGGAAGAAGTAAGAACCGAGATGAAACATTCAAAAAAATACTTATCAAAACACGCACACGAACAAATATATGTGCACATTATGTATTTACGTAAAGTAGTTTGTTACCTTCATAATTTCAGCATAAGGATGATCACTTTCAGTTTGTGCATAATGGCACTCATCAAATATCAGAAGGGCAATCACCTCAATCCTGATGAAGCAGTGGGATAAATTACGTAATAGTATTTCAGGAGTCATGACAAGGACCTGCAGCAGAAAGTACAAAACTAAGATGAATGTTTATTTTCACGATAACTGTACTTCATTGGCGGGAAAAAAAAAATCTTTTCTTATAAGGCCCTGTTGGAATAGAGATAGTGGCAGATGTTTCTTTTAAAATATCAGGAAATACGGGTCATGCTAAAGATAAGAAAATATTAGACAGGGATATTGGTCTCCTACAACGGACTCAAATGGGGAGAAAATAAATGTTAGTAATGTTAGAGCCTACAACCCAAAACCAATTGACAATGGATGGAGTGCCCCTCAAGTATATAAACCAACCTCGGTGGTCCTGGTCCTAATTATTCGATGTGAGATACAAGCACTCTTAACACCTTCCCCCACATGGGACCCAGACTCCTATGCGGGGTCAACAAACAAACTATTAACTATGCATCCAAAAAAATTCAAATGGGTAAGAGACTTAGCCCACATACCACTCAAGGTCCAACTCTAATATCATGTTAGAACATTTGACCCAAAACTAATTGGCAATTGGTAGAGTGGCCCCTTAAGTATATAAACCAACTTTGGTGGTCCTAATTATTCAATGTGGGATACAAGCTCTCTTAACAAGTAGAATCATGGAAGCAATCCACTATTCTTTAAGAGATAAAAGTTGACTCAACTTTTAGAAGGCAATATAAAACCGACATAACTAACCTCATATTGTTCCATCTCCTTTTCCCAGTCATGATGGCTTCTTAAACGCTTCAAACCCCCACAATAGGCCTCAACTTTAAAGTCGATAGAGTCTTGTATAACCTTGGCTTGCTGCAAAGTAACATGTATGTTTCTAAACATAAATGGTTGTAAGACATATATCCAGCCATCCAGATAAAAATTTCTAACAGCATTAAAAATATAAAGGATCAACATTTCAACTATTAACCAGATTAACTCAAAATAATATTGAGTGTCTCCCTAATAAACTTGATCATACTCAAAATAAACTCATAGATAACAGACAAGCAACCTCAACCAAAAAAGGACAGAGATAAACCCGCATCTTGTTTTGGATAAGTCACATTAACAGCAGCATCATTTGATAGCTTACATAAATATGAGTCACTAATATAAATTGGAACTAGAAGTAACTTGTGCAATATGGCCGTGTCTAATAATGATGTCATATCAAGAAGCAATAATGAAGTGGATATTGTTGACTGAGAAAACAATGTTTCAACTTATTGGGTTGAATAATTTGATGGGTAATTTCTCTGGCAAGGGAAGAGACCTTGATAAAAGATTATAGGACAAAGATGATGAGGTATTAATGTGTTCCAAAATCTTAGCCTTCTAATCATAGTGCACCCAAAGTCATAGATGAAAAAGTTCACATGGAAGTTGCTTCAAGATTGGTTTCTCTCAAGTGAAATGAAAGGTAAAGATAGCATGAGTTCTTTAGTTGATGTCACCAGATTTCTAAAGCTTGTTGAGAACGTATATACTCGTCTGATACTTGCTTTACAATAGCATATGCAGTCATATGGTGAGTCTATTTATGGATACCCAAAGACTTCCCATTTTGAGGCAGTCCTATTGAAAATTTCGGTACCGGATATATATGCCTGCCACAAGTGGTTACCAGACCCAAATTCCATACTGATGCTGACTTGGCTGGATCAGATACTGAAATGAAACCCACTGTAGGTATTGTACATTTGTGGGAGTCTTGGAGATGATGTGGTAGCAGCTAATACTTAAACATAGCGACATAATACAGAACTTAGGGCCATGGCACATACCATTGCGGTTGAGGATAATTGTTGAACAAATGGACCACAACCTTAAAGAGCATATGATACTTTATTGTGACTATAGAAGCTATAGATAGTGGTCATAGCAAGTCCAACATAACAGAACTACAAATTGGAGTGGATAAATATTTAGATAAGCTGACTGTAGCATTAATTTGCATGCCACATGTGACAACAAACAGATATTGGCACTATAATTTCTAATGAAGTGTTCAGTCTTAGCATGACGGATATTCGTGATATCTTGACTCGCAAGAAGAAGAGCATTAAGCAAAGTGGCAAGGGCCTACAAGGGTTATTTTTGTAACCGTGTGTGCATGATATATCACTAAAAATAGATGTGAGGCGGAATTATAGCTCTCTCATTTCTCCTGTATAGTTTCCCCGATTTCTCTCTTTTCTTCTATTCTCTCTTTCTTCCTCCTCAACTAAATATAAGCGCTAGATTCAACTAGGAAAGCATATACTTCGTCATTATCCGCAGGCCGTGGAGGAGGGGGTTTGAATCTAAGCCATGGAAGATTCCCATCCTCACAGGCAACCATTGGAATTATCACCCGTGCCCCATTAACTCATGCGATGAATGCTCTTAGCTTCTTCCAAGCATTACCAGATCGTAAAGCAGAAAAGATTAACACTTCACTTTATAGTCACCAATTGAAATTTCTACTGATCCCTGCCCTTAAACTGGATTACTTCACATTTCAGTCCAGTAAAGACTGCTAGAAAGAAAAAGATAGTTGGATTCTAGATGTCTGCTCAATTTCAAGATATGAGTCATTCCTCAGTAGTAGACACATTATCTTCCCTGAATTTTTATTCAAAAATGACTGAATAGCACTATTAGTCACAACCATTTGCCACTGGCCATTGGCTAAATGACCTCCAAAATAAAATCAAGCAATATGCCTGTGTATGAGAGACAACGCCTGTCTTAAAATTAGCAACACCAAAACAGAAGAAATAAAAAAATAATTCACCTGTTGAACCAAAGCAACTGTAGGAGCAAGAAAAACGCAAATGTTCTTCTGGGGTTTCTTTATCAAGTGACCCATCTCATATATAAGCAACACTGCAATGTGAGTTTTCCCACAACCTGTTCCCAAATACACAATAATGTTCTCCTCCAACGCTTTCTTACAAAGATCCATCTGATACCTGAGAAGGAACAGAAATGGAAAGAAATAAAGCACATTTTTCTCTTTGGTCACTACAGAAATCTAGGAAATGAGAAAATATCAAGTGAGATGTTTCATCGTCTGAGGCCAGATAAAACAGAAGATTCACTCAGATAAAAATTTGATTTGAATTTTACATCTTCCCTCCTTTTGAAGGGAAAGAGAGGGAGGGAAGGGCGTATGGTTACAACAACAGCCAAAAAGTAAGATGTTTCTGAAATTTACCATCTGACAAAAAGCAAGCTGAGAATAATAAATTGCAAAATTTTGGAAGGCGTGTAACAAAGAAAAAGAAAAGAAACCCATGACAAGATGCCCGTAGAGGTAATTCAGAAACAATATTACAAAACATATTTGAATTCAACCTTTTCTTCCATTTCCCTCCCATTACTCGGCAACCAAACAGAACTATATTAGTATACTTCTTGCATGGACAAACTAATCAAAGAAAAAACAGTACTCAAAAATATAACCACTTTCATGAACTACAAGAACAAGAGATCCCCACATATAAATGCAGTGGGAAAGCATCCAAACTCATAATTTTTCTACCAAGAAATCAAAATTTACTGCTTCGATTTTCCTCCACTTACACAGCAACCGCCAAAGACAGAGCTATATCAAAATTTCCATACACACAATGAATAATCAAATAAAAGTAGAACCCACTAAGCAAAATGCAATTACATGGACAAAAGAAGAGAAAACCATAAATCCAAAGCTATGTTTTTTCCTGAACCCAAAAAACAATAGTTTCATCAGTAACCAAACAGAAAGATAGCATAGAAACTCCATCCACCCAACAAATTTATCAAAGAAAAACAAAACCCGAAAAGCAAAATGGAAGGGCATTAACAAAAACAAGTAAAAAACTCATTACTTTCTTGCAATCTTTCTTGGGTCTTTCTCTGTCCTCTGAGCTCCATCACTGGATTGTTCATCATCATTGACCGACAGACTCGAAAGCTGTTCACTGATCGAAGTTGCAGTTATTTCAGCAACATTATTCCCCGGATCATCAACGTCACCACCACCCATGACGGTGATCACGGCTGTGGTGATCAAAAGTTGCGCAGATGGTTGACTCTGCTTGACTCAGAAGTGTGAACCGTGAACCCTTTGTGTGTGTGTGTGTGTGTGTGTGTGAGTGATAGAGAGAGAGAGAGAGGGAGTTTTGATGTTAAGTTCCTGGTGTATGCGTGAGAAGTGGGTTTGAAGGTAGAATTGTCAGCAGGATTTAAAAAGGGTCTCCGAGGTATACAAATACAACATAGGCATATGCACATCCATTACTTGCTAACAAATATATTTCTAGGGACCTCCCAAAAGATGTCCGAATTCTTAATTTGTACACCTAACAAAAATTATATCTTCAATGTCATAAAACAATTGCAAACTAGCCTAGATTAAATTTGTCGTCAACTTTTTTTGTTATAATAAGTCGTATAAATATGACAATAAACTGGGGTTTTGTTAGAAAATATTGAAAATAATTTTGTGTGTGTCCTTTTACAACTTTTTTATGACATTGACGGTGTATTTTGAGATTCCAAATATTTTAAAACTTAAATGTGAGAATTTGAACATCTTTTACTATACATAATGATACTAACCTAATTCTCAATTATAGTTTTCCAATTGATCTACCATTTAATTTACTTGGTGGTCATTAAATATCAATGGAATACCTACAAAACTAAATAATAAAAGCTCAATAAAAGGAATGATAAGTAACGCAAATCAAAGTATTCATTCTTCCTCGAATAGGAATGAGAAACAAGAGATATTTTTTCTCGAAATATAGACAAATGGAAGTTTAGCTCTTAAAGAAACATTTAATGAAGTCTCCCGAAAATTTGATTGATTTATTTATTACCTTTTTATGTATGGAAGAAGAAGACTTACAATTAAAGGACAATCAATACATGATTCATTTACTCCCTTAACTTTCATGATAAATTGACTAAATTAAGAAAAAAAAATAACATTGAAAATTAATTTTTATTGACCAATTAGAATTGCCTCCCAGAATCTATAATTGCATCAAAAGGTCCAATAATGTCATTAAAAATATTTGGATCCTATATAACTTAGTATGTTTGTGTGAAATTTGGATCATTGTAATTTGAAGATTTATCAAATCAATTTAATACCATCATCTACTAGTACTTTTATCTGATCCCACTTGACATTTGTGGGATCCATTGTTTAAGCAAGATTTTTCACATGACTTATGTAACCACTTATTTTAACTTTTTCACATTCCTACAACTTGCAATGTGTATAGTTTTTAAATTCCTCTTAACATAAATATGGGTGATTATTTATGTTTTGAATAAGATGTGTGGAGATGTTAAAAATGAATAAGAACGTAAAACACATGTATCATGCAGAGCAGCTTCTAGTGATATTTCAATTTTAACAGCAAACTTATGTAAGTAATTGAAATAAAAAAAATTTATCACACCCAATGCACTTAATATGAAAAAAAACAAAGAGATTAAAATCGATTTACTACAAATTAACCCACCTAACCTAATCCATTAGCTTTAAACTTAGATTACAAGTTCAAAAATTTATCCCTCAACAAATTCTATGGATGGAAACTTCCTCCCTTGAATCTTCACTAAGGAAATCTGTCGCAAAGCAGCTTGACAACTATGACTTCCAAAGCAATGAACTAAGATCCACAATCCACCTTTGTGGAATCATCCTCCTTCTCCTATGACACTGTTCCTATTAAACAATCGTTGCTATTATATGTTTTTAAAATTTTACTCTTAAAGACAAATTAATTACAAATCGACTGTTAAACGAAATAAAAACTCAATAATTATACTTTCTTCTAATTTAACTCACCATGGACAAATGGGGTCACCCACTTCTAAATAGTGTATACTACTTGAAATCATGGTAAATAGCCTCCTCTTAAATGAAATTGAGAAAAAAAAATATATTAAATCGATTTCACTCCATAAAATAAATATCCAAATCAAGCGGGGTGTACTATACTTTCAAAGACTACACATAAGGGTATCGCTGCAATTGTCAGACACTATAATGGGTGTCATTATAATTTTACCAATTTTAGGCGGTCTATTAGTAGAGTGACTTAACAAAAAAGACACCACTCACCGTATGCCAGAGAAGTATACGTAGATGGCGTAGATAGCATCATGCTGGAGTTGCTAAATAAGAATCAATGACGCAGAGAGAGAGAGAGAGAGAGAGAATAAAGCCAGGCATAATTGATTGGAGAATAAAGCTACGGTGTCTTTATTTAGGGATCAAGTTATGCTATCGATTTTTTTTAATAATATTATACAAAATTATTTATGGTTGTAAATTTTCAATTAATTAATTTTAATTGGCTCAAAAAGTTATAATATTGAAAAATTAATTTTAAAAGGCAACTTTCAACATAGCCCTTTTTTTTCATTTTATTATTTCACCATTAAATTTATTTAGAATGAATTTCCACAACCAACTACCCAATTTTATAATTACAAAATTTCGAGTTAAAACATCTTCATGTCCTAAAGAATGTGTTAGGGATAAGTGCATCATAAAAAATTTAAAAAAAGGGTACCACGTTGATGTTAATTCGAAAGATATTTAATTTTAGTTTAATTGATTTGTTGTCATTGATTACAAAAAATAATGTATTAAAAAAATTTGAATGAAAAATGTATATAATATAGTAAAAATTATTTTTTGATATTGTAAATTAGGAGTGTTCACCCTACCCTACGTGTAAAAAATATGATTTTTCATCTTTCTGCCCGATACTTTGCAGAAGAATTTTTTTTTTTTGTCTATCCTAGTCAATCAAGTATAGTATTCTTACCCGACTTCCGTCCAAATTAATTGGGTAGGAAGTCGGGTAGGAAATCGGGTGAACATTTTTATAGTTATTAATTTTGGAATCATTTTAACAATTCAATTAAATAACTTACACCAATTTAACAATACAATAAACTAATAACACTAGAATGTAAAACAATTGTTGATTGTGGTATTCTAAATATAATAAAATCACTTATTAAAATTTTTGATTTGAAACATGTAGAATTCGTTTGGTTGCTGTATTGGAAATAGATGGATTAGATATAGTAATACAGTCTAATACAATACGGAAGGACAGAAGACAAGTGTTTGGTAATACACAATATAAGTGTTGGATGATAGTTTTTTAATCCAAGCGGTTGTTTGGTTAGAGAATTTTTTTATCGTATTAACAAAAATATCTTCAATCAGTGTTTGTTACATTGATGATAACTTGATTTTATCAGTTAAAGGGTTATAATAGTAAATGTGTAGAATAATACATTTGAATTGGATTATAATACCACCTTTTTTGGTGGTATTAAAAAACCTTCATAATACAGAGCTATCGTATAAAAAATATATGATAAGTATACGATCAATATACGTTTTTGAAATTAATACGGTATCAAATTTGCTTACTAAATAAAGTATTAGGCCCGATTAAATAAAAAATAGTGCAATTTAATATTTAATCCCCTCATAATACGTCTACCAAACGAGCCCGTAATGTATAATAAAACAGTAACACTAAAATCCGAAATAGTTACACAGAATATAAAAACAGTTACTATAGTCTTAACAAAACACGTAACTATTTGTCAAATCAATATAAATACTAACCCGGTTGCAGAACAGAAATCGTTATTGAAGTTAATGTAGATAAAGACTAATGTTTGACACTATGTCCTTAAGACAAATTTTACCCTCACACACAGTGCTTATGGAATATCAATCGTCTGCCTTTAGAATATAATGATCTTTGCACAAGTAGAAGTCGCACTCCAATCTACTTGTCTAACGAACAAAAAATTATGTTGTGTACTCTCCAAATGTAGACTATCTTAATGCCGACATGCAATGCACTAATGTCTGACTTAACTCTGAACATGGATTGATAAATGAATGAATGTAAAATGGTAATGAGCCTGTGTATTAATAGACACTTTAGTGACTTTTCAGACAACCATCATACTAAAATACACAACTTAGAATTAGTAGACACCATTTGTGTAACTGTTCTATATGAACAGACACAACTTCGGACTGGAGGGAAGCAAAAATCCGAACTAGTATGATCCAATGGATGCCGAAAATTAAATTTTGGTTCAGAAATTCTCACCCAATTAATTAAATAAATTTTATTCAGAAAGATAGGGCTTGGTCCACACCTACACCCGAGCTCAGCGGGGTCGTGGCGCGCGCGTGCACGTGTATGGGTGAATCGAAGACATATAGGTGCTCGCTTCGCTTATAAAATTATGGTACTCCTTGGGGCCCAATCTTATAGAGCAAACTTGACATATATATGTTCATCTAGAATTTCTTCCTCAACCAATGTGAGATTGGTGTCAAATCTCATATTGTACAATTTTTATTTTCACATTTCAAGATGATCACTTTGAAGCCTATTTTCTCATTCATTTCTTATTCAATTTGAGCAAGTGAATATACTACATTATTCTCCTCAAGGAGTAGAATATGAACCCACAAAAGTTTACTCGAAACAACGAATGAGTTCCACTTTAATTTAGTCTCAAAGTCGACCAAAAATTCAATTTTTATACTTAAAAAACTGTTTTGATCCAACAATTTCCCACGTGAAAGAAAAATTGATTGTTAGTATGCAAATGATAATACTGACACACTATAGAGAGTACATCTTTGAAAAGATTGTGCATCGAGATAGGTAACTTTTGACCTTGAACCTTCCCTAGTAAAAGACTTACTAGCTCAATAGTGAATATGATGTCTTGAACTATTCAGTTGTTTGATAAATTAGATCGAATAGACTTCACACACTTTCTTTCCTAACATAATTGGTTCTCATGATTGTGGTCATTTTGACCCTAAACAACTTCTGATTTTCATGAGTGCTTTAGAGAATTCAGCCTTTAAAATTCTCACAGAAGCGGCCCCTTCACACACATATAGGTGACTCTTATTAGGAATATCTTGCAACACCTCACTTGGATTTTTCAAGATATAAGAGTCATTAAAAACATAACTTACCCTAATAAACTCTGTAGGTAGCACTAGTTTATCATAGGAATAGGTAGGAGAGATGATCTC